CAGTTGCTGGGTGCCAGATATGAAACAGCAAGACGTCCTCGTAGCCGTACGACTGGGCACGAAGATCGAATTGCAACGAGCCTACACAGATGCGATCAACACATATGCAGGCAAAGACACATCCAGAGTATCGTCATTCATAGCAAGCAACTGGAGCCCTCCAGTTGAGGCTAAGACTAAACGCCTATCCGTCATGTCTCGCACCAGTGTCCGTTGGTCGAAGCGCCTGAGCGCTGTGTCTTCTGAATCAGATACTAGCATTACGCAAAACACCTCCCCGGCGCCTTCAGCAGCTGAGGTACACAGCCCCAATCTAGGCAAGCAGCTTGAGCAGGTTCTCAAGATGGAGCTGCCGCTTAGCATCTCAATGATTGCATACGTTGCACGTATGGTGATTGTCGCATGGACTTTGAGTGTGGAGCCAGTTGCGTGGGAGTATGGAGAGAGTGGATTCAAGGTCCCTGACATTGGGGCTCTGGGTGACAAAATCGTCCTGTGTTGAGCACATTTGATTTTCAAGAATTTGAATTTTGGGATATTGGGAGGCAGTGTATTTGGGAGAACTTTTGATTTCTTTGATTTCTTTGGAGTTCTATTGAGCATTACGGGAAGGATGATACCATTTTCAGCTTTTATCTTCTCTCTACACCATTTCTTTGTACTGTATTACACTCGACGAGATTTCTCATTTGTGATAGTAAAAGATGGCTAGTTCGAACATATCCAGCGAGTAATCAAGACAAAAAAGCGCTTTCTTCACTCACAGCCCGTCGAACCAAGCGATGCAGCACATGCACCACCTATTGTCAGAAACATGGATTCCTCGCTGATTTGCCCCTCCAGTCATCTCACTGGACTCGACTATTCCAAGGCCACGTAGATCCCGCCATCCGCAACCTTCCTTCCTCCGCCCTCATCCGCGTCCACCGCCTTCTGACCAAAGGCCCTCATACGATACGGACACCGACACGTAACACGTCTCCGGTCTCCTCCTTCCACGCACTCCCGGTCCCAATGACCTAAAAGTCATTCACTCTGTAAATGGTACTACCGTCTGACGTAAAATAACCCAGCTTTCACCTGTCTCACAATTAAGAAAAAGCAACAAACTCTCCAGAAAATTGTCTTCGGCGAAATAAGACTTTGTGAGTAGCGAACGTAGTCACAAGAAAGTTTACTGAATCAAGGCCGTAGTCGAACCCCTTGTCTGACTCGGCTGCTGGGCAGATCCGAATTCCGGGTTCCGAAGCTGTATAGATCTGCAGGGAGGGCCCGTTCGGGAATATGGTAGGTCCATTATGTATACCATAGTAATAGGTGTGACAGTCCTCGAAGAGTCGTGAACTGTGTACGAGGCTGAAAGCTTAGGCATGCGTGTGCATGATTTGATTTTTTGAAACTCGGGCAGGGGAAGGAAGAACGAGACGAATGAAAATGAAAATAACTTTTAGTTACGTGCGTATACATAGACTTATTGAGCATTCTCCTATCCTGACGAGATTCCCTTCCTCCACCACCAGAACACCATCCAAAGGAACTCCATACTATGGTATTCCTAGGTAGCACCATAGGTACCTACAAATCAAATGCAGTACCAACCACACGTCACGCCACGACCATCAAATTCCAACCCCCTTCGCACCCTTGCCACAACCCCCGGTCCCAGACCCACCCCGCTACTCTCTCCCTTCCATGGTTTCCACCACAGTCGAAGACCCTATCTTCCGTCTCTAGTGAACTAGGTACCATACATAGTATCCTCAACCTAGACACCACTATCCCGCATTCTGAAATCCGCTGTCTACTGCTTCACAACACACCACGCACTCACTCAACCTAGAGACTTTGATCTCTCACTCCATCCATAGTTTAAAAACACCGCCTCTGCGTCTCACAAAATACCATGGCCTGTTAATGCCAAGCGTTGTAGATTCCTAAGCCGCATGTTTATTTGCCTTGGAGGTGAGCTGGAATCAGTACTGCGTGCTATAGCGTCCATCTAAGCCAGTGCCCTGGGGGTGTAATGCTAACCTCCCCTGAGTCTTCCACATGGTCGAACCCTTCTTGGGAGCTCACATAGTCAAACGTGTTGGATCGCTGATGTTGCTTCTTGCATGAAAATCAGGGGCCATATCTGCTTTTACAATTATTAGCTTGTCCTTGGAATTTCAATAACTGAAGTAAAGGGTGGATATTAATGGTTGTCATTTGGCAATAACAGCTTCTTAGATGACTCTTTAGCATTTGCATTCTTAAGGGTAAAAGATTCAACTTGGTCAAGACTTTTTTTTTTCAGAAAACAAAGAGATTTCTGTATTCATCTTGTTGAAAGATGAGATCATCCCCGCTATCTCTAACTTTGCATGAGCGCCCTGCCACAAAAAAACTTTTAATAACATACTCTCCGCCATCGCAGACAAATCCCCCCCGCCACCCTCATCCTCGCCTCTCTCTGGCTTCATCCCCATCACCTCCGCTCACCCTCACGCGCATCTATGCATGACAGTTCACAAAACCCCCCTTCGCCTTCGCCCCCTTGTGCGTAATCAACCCACAGTAAGTCACCTTGGGGTGTCCACCATTCCCCCTCTTACCCTTCTGATAATAATAAACAACGCGCTCATCACCCTGTCCCTTATTATTCTTGCCACCGTCGTAGGGTGTACCTTTTTTCAATGGGTATTCCATGCGGTTCAAGTCGGCGGGGCAGTTGGGGAGAAAGACGAGACGGTGGCCTTTGGAGTCGTCATTGTTGATTGCGTGGGGGTATTTGCCTTCTTGAAGGTTGGGGCGAGGGGTTAGAAACAAACGGAGAAGAGAGTGGGGAGGATACAGGCAAAGGTAGAGGGGGTGGGAGGGGGCTTTGTAGGCGAGGGTGAAGTACTTACTTCCACGAATCTGGCCCGCGAGTTGTAAATTTACACCTTTTTGGGCAGCGAGAAGAATGTCTTTCCCTGTGTAATCATTGCCACCACATGGCTTCTTTGCAGACTGGGAAGGCGCTTGAAGAAACTGGATGCATTTTAGTCTATCTGCTTAAATATGAAAGAGAATTTGGTATCAAGGGAGGCCTGACATCGATTGGGTCGGTGGCTGCGAGGAGATCAAAACTGTCGGCATCATTGCCATCACTGGTGACGTTGGCAGGAAGCGCGGAGGCTATGCCGATGAGGAATATGAGTGAGGTTGCAAGAGAGAATTTCATGATCCTTGAAAAGACGAGGTTAATTAGGAAGAAGAGGTTAGTATTGGGGGATGCTGCTGCTTAGAACGGGCTGCGATATAGGGGATCATTATTGAGATTTTATGCTTGATATATACGCTCTTTCGATATTAGGCCTTCATCGAGCGTCTGAGTATCGGTGAGAGCCACTGCTTGATTGACAGGATCCAAGACATTTTCAACTCATCTGTAGTACCTACCGTAAGCATTAAAGATCATGAATCTCACCAAATCTTAGTTACAGTCGAATGGTATGATGGTATTGCCTGAAAATCCCGAATAATGTAAGGTGGGTACTGCATCCAACACTATCTGAACTCTTCGCTGATCAATTGATAGGAGAGCGCCCTTAGAGTGCGTCTTACAGAAGTTTGCGTGATCCTCAATGAGCATGATTTCCCTCCAAAACAAGTGTCACAAGAATGCCTTCGGAAACCGACTCGTCATTTATGAGTTACAAGTCTTCTTGACGGCAAGCTAAGCTGCGAATTTCGGGCAGTACAAGACCAGACGATCTAAACAGATGCGGTAGGTACGACGGAACCACGGATATAAAATGGTACAGCCGAACAGGCCATCGGACTAGGCCCTAGATTTATAGGGTTGATTACATCCGCTTCCAAGGTTGATAGCTTTGTGAGAATGGTTGCTGTGAAGGTTCTGATAATCATGAGATCAAAGTGAGTTGTGGTATTATAAACCTCGATCAGCATGAAATAGAATTCTTACTTGGAGAATGAAAAGGTGAAAACTGTAATGCTCTGCTACTTCGCGGATATATGATGACGGGATGACGTTTACGGGAGGAGGTTGTTTTGCATGTGCCACAATCCCGTCAGTCCTGCAATACCAGGGCGTATTAGACTGGAAGTTCGATACGCAGGTTTCATTGTTTGGTGACTCAAGGATTCTAAATGCTGTCACTCGAATCAGCGTTTCTATGCTTTGAAGACGAGAGCTCCCTGATGAGGAGTCGCATATCGCTGCCCGGCCACACATTTCCAAAGAACAAAGAAGTCAATGGCTTGATCACAACAGATAATATGATGTTTTCAATCCGGTTGGGCCTCCCTTCTTAGCTTCATCAGGAAACCATGTCTAAGACTGTTCATGAAGTGCTACTGTGTCGGTATCTCGTGCTCAGTAAGAGGACATTGGCGTGTGACGTCAGAAAGGGTGTGGTTGGAAAAGCGCGACTACCTGCCCGTTGGTCGCAAGGCCAAAACTCGTGCAATTGCTCTTCTCTTTGAGTCACTGAACTCCCTCACTCGTACCACAATCTTATTTTCTACTACAGCCAACCTCGATCCAGGATTTCCACGATGCAAATGCCAGACTCACCACAGGACATCATGTCTGACAGTTGGTTTACCTACAAACTTGCTCCAGATGGCGACGTCGAGGACGGCTGTCACCCAGATGAAGCGCAGGCTCTCAAAGACTATCTTCGCAACAAAACAACGACCGTCGAAGCCGCACAAGCAATCACTCGACCTCTCGTCACATCCAGTGATCCGCGTGAAGACCTAGTTCGCCTCTGGTCTATCTTGATGGATGCTCTTGTTGAGTTACCCTCAGAGCATACAGATCACCTCATTGCGCTGGTATCGGCCATTGAGGATCTTCCTGAGCCAGACTTCAGTACTATTGAGGGAAGCAAACAGCCGAGGGAGAAGTTGTGGAGGGGGCTCCCTGGTTTTGGACACCTGTGGGCCGACTGTTACCAGTCAAGTAGCTGGAGAGCCACTGTCGTCGATCTGGAGGGCGAGAAACGCAAAGCGTTCCTTGATGAACACATCAAGAAGGCTCAGGTCGAAGCAAGGCTCGTCGCATCTGGTCTTGCCGGCATTGAGATTGACTGGGCCTACGAAGTGATTGCAGATGCTTTGGAGAGCAGCAATGCACTGCTCGACTTTGAGATCCCCGCTGCAGCGGAGTGGCTTGAGTGCTGCGCACAGCGACTTCGACAGGGAGCGGCCATGGGCAAGCCATCGTGGGCTCTGAAGCCGCGTATATCCGAAGCAACGTGCACTTCATCACGAGACCTCTTGGAGGCCCGCTCGGAAGGGGTGATGAGCTTGAAACGTTGGAAGGCATGGCAGGAGCGTTTGATGAAGCTGCAGGAAGACGAAGGGGAAGAAGAGGTGACAGAGGCCGCAAGGCGTGCGCTCGAGGCTATGCGCAAAGCTGACCAGGCGCTGTGAGAGAGGGAGAGTCATAGGACACATGGATGCATCGATTGCTTGCATGTAGGTAGGTACCGGTACTTGATGCCTGAATTTGGTGCTGGGACGGCAAGGTGTGGGTGGCCAGAATCGCAGAAAACTCCGGATTTGTAGCTAGAAGGCCAATCACCAGTGGGACTAAGTAGATATCTCATGTTGCTACTCCACGTTGTGTCTTGTATTTGATGTTGCCTTGCTTGATGAGGCGGTAAGAAGGCGGTAGGTACCGCAGTGATTCGGACAGGCCAAGTCGCGGGCGCGATGACGTACACCCGTGGCGTCCATTCACATCCATCATCACTACTCATAGGCCATCCCCATTGACAGATACATAACAAAATTGGCTATCGTACTGGATCCTCGGTCCGCCATGCAAGCACCCACACGCGTACCATGGCCTCTTCTGCTCCCCTTACTGCCGCACAAACACACGCCCTATTTGATATTCTGATCCACCACCAAATTTACGCCGAAATCGAAGCCTTCAAATACCCCACCACCATCGACCAATATGGCTACCCGTTTCGCAAGGCCGATGGCGTGCAATCAACAAGCCCGCTGCTGCAAGTCATGCTGAACAAATTTGCCCTGTCTAATCCGGCGGTACGCGGCTTCGGGGAGAGCTTCTGGCAGGACAAGGTCAGGACGCTGGTGGCGCGGCTGGCCGAGGCCGAGCTCAGTGAAAGTTATGACAAAGGCGCAATTGGGAGCCGCAAGGCGCTCGCGACGGCAGCGAGCAGCATCGGCGAGTATGTTGCGAGGGGTATGCTGGGCGGATACCCCGTGGCCAGGAACCATGAGGCGAAGAAAAGCTACGACACCAGCAAGGCAGAGGACGTCATACAGGGCTTCGACGCCCTTATGCACGGTGTCATCTATGGCGACTTGTTGGACGACATGTTCGACAAGGTCAAGGCAACGCCACGGCTAGAAGATCATGCGAGTGTGGTCCAGGCGGCCCATGAGTATATCCTGCTCAAGTGAGGACTTCACCGGTACCTTTGGTGGGCAGCGACTAGTCACTAACGCACACAGTGTCGCCTCCTTTCTCCACCATGTCTTCATCATGTCGCCTGATGGCCAGTATCTCGTCCGTCTCCTCGAGAACTTGCATCGCCTTATCCCATACATGGTGATCAAGCAGACGCTCCGTGTGGGAAATGCTGCGACCATGATCAACGGCATGGTAAGGCTGATATTGGCGAAGCTCTCTGTTACAGCCATGACCAATTGGATAGGTCTCACCAACAACACAAATGATGGCATGAACCTACTGCAACAGATCATGTCGACCATACTGGCGTGGGATACGTCCGAGTTTCAGAAGAGAGCCTCGAAACTCGAGTCTTCTCGCGAGGCACCGGACAAGAAGGTGTTCAAGGCAATCAAGAAATTTGTCTATGCGTCCCGAGACAAGCACGAGACCGTGCGAAGCCAGTCGATATCAGAATCCAAGTCAATCGTGGCTGTCATCCTCGAAACCGCAGACCAACCATGTAAGATCGACGCTGAGTCGCTTACCGAGTATCAACACAGCGTTGCCATGGAGTACTTTAGCACATATCTCTCTATACGGGACCGAGAAGAGCTCGTCAAAATTCTGTGTAGATCGAACCCAGACATACTCACTTCGGCAGTGCGCGAGGCTGTAGCGGGCATGGACCCTATCATTCGCGCCATCCACAACGCCGTTGATCTATCTAGCACTGTTACAGACGTCGAAGCATTCCTGACAGATCTGATCAAGACGTCAAAACCAAAGAAGTCAACTGGTCGCAGGAGTAGAGAGACGTCACAGTCCCGCCCCAGCTCCCCAGGCCCAGCCAGCATTGCTGACCAAGATGCTAGCGAAGTTCCCACAGTAGAAGACTTTGTTCAGTTACTCCGAAAACACGCCCCCTCGATGCACAAATTCCTCCATCAAGTCACCAAAAATGCGCCTGACCTGGCAAATGACTACCTCATATATGCCAAGCGCATCTTTAGCGAATACAAAGTCGACGCCGTTGCCAAAGTTGCTGAGGAGCGCGGCGAAGGTGGGGCAGGTAATATGACGGCACCCTTGCACGCCCTGTTCTCCAGCCTACCAAACGAGAAACAGAACAGCCTCAAGAGACTCTTGGATCAACACGAAATACATCTCCGTACACTCAAAGGCACGTCACAATCACGCCTCGAATCTATAATGTCTTCTTCTACCCAATGCACGCAAAAGGGCTCAACACATGGCCCGGGCATGTACCTCAGTCGGTGGAACTCACTACTCAACTCTACACTCATAACGCCAGCAACAATACATGGACCTGTGCGCAAAGGCTGGGAGGTGAAAGGAGAGTTGGATGGCAAGGGGTTGAAGACGAATTCTTCGTTGGTGAATGTGGGGAAGAGGGATAAGATGTTGGGCATGGTGGCAGATGGTACGGGTGATGAGGTAGATCAAATAGAGAGGAAGAGAGATGGAGAAGAGGAAGAAAGTATGATTGAAGTTTGGGAGGGGATGAGGGATGGCTGGGTTGGCGTGTGTCGGGGATTGGAGGTCATGGGTCCGGACTGAGGGTCATAGCAGTAGGGTCATTGGCAGTGCATGTCTGGTATAAGCAGAACTACTTGTTGACACGGAGTAGATTCCGGTCCCACATGAACGCTTATCCACATGAATCGGCGTATGATCGTGGTGGTGAAGCCGCATGGCTATTGGGCCAAGGCTATTCATGAATAGAACAATCACATTGTGCGCTATTTCGCTTTCACCTGTATCATTTCAATTATGTGACTCTTGGCGCATCTTGTCTACTGACGAAGAGCTTAAAGGTGCCAAGATGTAGTGAGTGGCATTCACGGGAGCAAAAAAAAATAATTCGTTTTGACCTAACCAGGGGTCGCTGGGATATGTTAGTGTGGGGAATCGAATGTGCGACAGTTTGGTTCAACGTACAACCTGGAATCTCTTGATATCAGACCAAAGTCGTAGTCAAGCGCCTTGCCATTGGGCCATTAGGCCAGTTTTCACTGAATTGATGTCAATTCGCCGAAATGCATAGTATATACTGTGGAATAAATAAAGTGCGGACGCCGGAATACTGCGGTACCACAGGCTGCGAGCGGAAAACAAGTGGCAGATGTTTTTTTCTCCGTGTGCGGGATATGCATGCGGTCTCGCTTCACAATCTAACCTTAGTTCGAGGGTGTGGCGCATGCGTCATTTGGATGGTTAGTCATGTCCAACAACACGATGAGATAGTTTATAAAGATGTAGTTTATAACTAGTGATGGTAGTTTATAACTAGTGATGATTTTATCTTATCTCGTCTTTCTTTGTTTATTTCATTTTTCTATCCGCATATTTACTAATACCCATCTGCATCTACTCAAGCATGGTCACTAGCCATGCGATGTGCTACTCTAGTCCCTTCCGCCGTTCACATCGTGTACATGACTTCATCTTACGTTGCGATAGATCAAACGCTTATCTGCTCGTGCTGTGTATGGGGTTAGGAGGCAGGAAGATGTGGGGAGTGGATGGTTTATAGAGTAACTATGATAGTGTCTTGTAGTGGGGTGGAGACATTTGTAGTGATAATATAGGCCAGTTGGGATGGTGCAGACATGTATGATGCGTAGGGTCACTTCTTTGTGATTAATGGGGGAGGCCATGTGTGCGCCTGATGGTTTGCAGATTGTAGATTGGAAAGAGGGATGTGGTAGAAGGCAGGGCCTACAGGTCTCCAGCAGTGTAAAATCTGCCAGTCATCACAAGTGAAGCCACACAGCAGACAAACCAAGAAAATTCACCATGGTACATAAATACACACCGCCTTCCGCAAACACCCTACTGCACCACCTCCCCAGACCACTTCCCCCCAACAAGCCACCTCTCTACATCCCCCGGAACCCTCACCAACAACTCCCTCGTCCCCTTCAACTCCACCGCCCCCTCAATCCTGCGCTTCAACTCTTCTAACCCGGGCCTGTCCCAAGGATCCCAATTCAGACAATCTCTCACCACTCCCTTCAACACCGCACTGTATCCCCCCGCCACCGTGTCCTCACCGAAAACCCGTTCTTCCAGATCCTCCCTCCCGTACTTCTCACCGTCGTTTATAAAAACACGGCTTATGCCCTCGGCACTACCACCGCCCTCGTTCTCCCACCGAGGCCGGAAATCCCCACCATGCTCAAGATTGGTGAGTAAACACCACATCACCTGCCCCAGCGCCCAGATATCCGTCGCCGAGCCAAGCGGCCTTGCCGCATCTCCACTCTTTGTGTAAAACGTGTGGAACAGCTCAGGCGGATATCGGCTTGCGGCGCTGAAATCTGACGACTCTGTAGTTGCGCTTGAACCGGTATCCGGCACAGCGCCAACGAGGTAGTGGAAGGGGTTGTCTTGGTAGGAATCAGCGGGGTCGTCTTGCAGGGAGAAAATGGCCATGTCAAAGTCTGCGAGGAGGATTCGTGGCCAGTGGGTTTGTGGTATGGAGAGTGTTTTGTCGTTGGTCCTAGTGTTTGTGGGGGTGGAGGCATAGGGCGGGTGCAGTGGTTTCCCATCCGCATCGCGGGCCGGCGCGACGAAGATTCCTTGTTAGGCAGATGTCGAGGTGGAGGATTGGTTTCCAGGCCTCATTGTTGGGGAGTGGCTGGTTGTTGCCGTCGCGTAGGAGGAAAAGAGTGTTGACAAGAGACTGGCATACGTGCCATATGAATGGCTCCGGGATGGTCTCTGGCACCGGCATGGAGGGGTTGTTGCGGCGTTGTCTTCGCCGGATTTGTGCTCCTGGCGAGCCATGCAGGTGGTAGTATCGTACCAGGACATCGTCGAGGCTCCGGTAGTCACAAAAGTCAAAGTACTGGCGGTACCTCCTGTCGGTCATGTTCAGCCGATGGCCACGGAAAGGTGTGACACCCTCGATGCCCTGCGCAGCGAGGCGTTGCTGGATGGCGAGTTCCTTGGGAAGGCGATCTCGCCAGTAGGTGGGATTGACCCAGTTGAGACGATGCATTGGTTTCGAGTCTTTGATGGCCATGCGGTCGATGATGCGGTTGTCTGCATCGATTTTGCAGAAGAGGTAAACATGCCCGGCTGCTCCTTCCCCCACGGTTGCCACGCCGCGCCATGTACCTTCTGTAGTGTCTGAGTCTGGGAGTAATGTGCCAGCCTCGAGCACACTCTCTACGCCTTCACCTATATCGGGTATTGGGGCATGGATATCCCCAATCTGTGGCCAAAAGGCGAATCTGGTTGTGTTTATTCGCGTAGCTGGAATAGGAGCCACAGCAGGAACAAAAGCAGTCTCGCCAGCAGTACCACCACCAGTACAAATACCCCCATCATCATCATCATCATCATCACCACCACCACCACCACCACCACCACCACCACCACCAACTGACCCCGGAGAAGCCTCCTGCCTCCTCTTCGACGGCCACCACGCCCTCCCCACACTCCTCTGCGGCATGATCCCCAAATCAACCACCGGCAACATCAAACTGCCCGCCGCGACCAGTGCCTCACAAGCCGCCTCTTCAGCCTGCGTACGGCTCGCCCAAAGCCACGCCAAATTGCGCTTGAGAACCTGTTCGCTCCACCTGGGATGGCGGGCGCGGAGAGCAATGCGCCAGGCGCGCTTGTAGTAGCCTGCTGCGGTGCGGAGGGGGGTTGTTAAGTGTGTTGACATTGTGGATGTGGATGTGAGTGTGATTGTGATTGTGACTGTGAGTTGGTTGGATTGAATGGGTTGCAAGGTGATGTTGTGGATTTTTGGGTTGAAATATATTTGATAAAGGATCTTGAGGGTGGATTCTGCGATATAAAATGTCTTGGGAGGAAGAAGGAGGGTTGGGACTGGGAGAAAGGACAGAGGCAAGCACTATGTAGTAGATGGGGTGCTTGTAGGTGACAATAGGTAACAATCGGGAAGCCGATGGACAATGGGAAGAGGAGCTTTGTTGACAACGACAATGGGTGAAATGTAACCATGAAGAAAATCACTAGTGTTGCCCGTATGCCTGATAGTAGAACGAGTGGGGAAGTTTTGTGGAAAGGAGTGATCGAACAATGAATTTTTTGTGCAGAAAACGTTACAATCATTATTGTAGCCAACTTTCGTTGAAAATGACGCGATTCGAACTGCAGGCCGTCACCTCCTCTCTTGTTAGGCTTTTCACCAGGTCTTGTCCGAATTCAATCCCATTTCGTTGGAGAATTAGAGCGATGCACAAATAGAGCATGATGCCAGGATTTATGATCATCATCGCCGTCATAAAACGCCATGCAGCCATCTACTCATCCCGAAACACCCACTTCCCACCTTTCCGCTGAGCCTCCAGCCAACGTTGCTGAACCTCCATCCGCTCCATCTCCCTAGCTTTCTCTCTGTCTTCTTGCTGCTCCTGTGTAGTCGGGAAGTCGACTCTCCAGAACCCCGGCGGCGTTCTTCTACGCTCATACGCCTGGCGATGCTTCCCCGATTCTTTGGCCAACTTCCTTGTGCGCGCTTGCAGAACAAGCTCCTGGCGCTCTTCGACAGACATTTGTGTGAGTTGCATACTGTTGTACGCGTCGCCAAGATAATCTTCAACGAGAGCTTCCTCCTCGGATGCAGGGAGAGGAGCCTGTGCTTGTGCAAAGGCGCGGAAGGTGGAGCCGCAGCATTGCAGATTGGTGCATCCTGGTAAACACATACGATCACCTCGCTTGCGAACAGTCTCGGAGAAAGCATAACTATAACCTTGGTTATACGCTGGGTTGGGCTTGAAGTCCTGGATGGCCAGCTCGGTATGCGGCCGATCTCGCAGACGCCCCTGCTGCTTTGACTCTTTTCCGCGGCTTTTACGCAGGCCCGCGCGCGTATGAGGAGCCTTCATTGTCCAGATTTGGCCACCGCTATGTGTAGGATTATCGAGGGGCTTCGAACTAGATTCATGGCCCGTCTTATGAGGAGTGTGCTTAGAGCGAGGTGTGTCTGGTGAAGGTGTGGATATAGGCTCCGCCTTGATTTTCTTAGGTTCAGAGTTTGGTGCTTGCAGAGAGCTCTTGATGGGTGTTTGAGGACTCTTCGCACTACGTAGTCGCCGATTGATTCGCTCTCGAGCGAGGCGTGGTGGTAGTCTCAGCTGATTAGCGATATGCCCAGAAGACTCGCCTGATTCTGCAAGCACATCAAGTCCGGCCAGATGCCGTGCCCCAGACCGGCGAGATCGTTTCTTGGGAGGCTCTTCAGAAATATTGCTTGTTATATTTGGATCGAGGGATCGAAGAACATTCTCTTCTAGTTGGATCGAATCTGTAGGCTCACTACACGCGCGCTCCTCAGGGTCTGCCAGTGGAAGCTCAACCGTGGCGCGGTGAGACACCAGGGGATCATGGCTATCATTACCCCTGGGTTGATCAATATCTTGATGCTCTTCCTTGATGCTTTGGGAGAATGGTGCGCTGTTTGATCTTTGATGGCGTAGTGTGCCAGTTGCATTTGAATGGCTGTTCACAAGTTTCCGCGTATGACGGGGCGACGTCAATACAATTGGCGCAGGTTCATCGAGATCAAATGTTTCCTTCCGTAATAGTACCGTGGAGACGGTAGTAGGTGGGCTACTCTGCGGTTCCTCTTTCACGCTATAGGGTTTGGCTGGAGTCCCATCGGAGGCCCGGTCGGCATAGATTTGGAATCTGGACTTTGGCGGTTGACCACGTTTCCGCTTCAGTGATCGCTCTGAAACGAATTGTGGAAAGTCATCTTCGTCTTGCACCTCATTGTCTTGTTTCGACATTATTACTCGCTCGACGAATTCATCCACGGTTGTTTGGCTCGAATCTGGGTTGGCCTGCTGAGAGGCGTACGCTTTCCCCTCGTGACACGCAACGTTATCTTGTCGCGAAGGGGCCGAAACTCTGTCAACACTCCGGTTCTGTCGCATGGAATCAGATTGATAAGCTGGCTTTGGCGTGATGGAACCACTCCGGCCTTGAAGCTCCTTGCCTGCGTGTGATCTTGGTGTTGTAGGACGAGATGTCGACGCTCCTGGTGTTGGAACAGATGCTTGTGGAAATGAAACTATAGGGGCAGGAGACGAGCGCCCAAAATCTGCCGGTGTTGCCGGTGTTCTGGCAGTCGCGACAGAACATGGGCTAGAGGGTACATGAGGACGGTCTTCATGATGATATGCAGAGAGAAATCGAGAATGAGGTTCGCCAGTCCGTACCTCAGTCTTTAGCTTCTGCTTTCCAGCCTGTCGATCAGCGTACTCCTGCCACGCGCGAACACTTTCTTTCATATCTTTATTCTTTTGCATAACAGCCTGATTCTTCCTCTCCAAGTACTTGGCTTTTTGCGTTACATCTTCATACTTTCTGGTCAGTTCGCTAAACTTCTCAGTGAGTTGAAGGAATTCTTCCTGTAATGAACTGTCGGAATTGGCAGCGCCTGGACCGGACATGTTCCCCGCGGGCTCATATCGACGTCGAAGTTCTTCTTTTAACGACTCATTCTCTTTAGTCAGACGTGCAGTTTTCTGAATTTCCTCATTCAAATGATTGAACAAAATCTGTTGGTTTTCTTCCTCTGCATAACTGTCAGCGTTCCTCCGATGCTAAGAGTAATGTCGATACTGACTTTCTTTTAATTGATTCTTGTGATCTTGGTCCCCTGGCACGTCATTAAATTGCTATCTTTGCGTGAATGCCAGTACATACTCTTCTTCCATTGATTCTCTAGCTCAGGCGCGATGACTTCATCGTAGGCGCGCATCCACAACGCCTTCTGCTGCTCAATCCAAACCGTGGAACCAGCCATTTGCAGAACGCTGGCATTTCAATGTGGGTTGAGAGACATCCGGGCAACTCCGTCGCTGCTGTTGAATTCTAACAGTGACGGGTGCATCATCATGATGGAAGGATGCATTCACGACGCATTTAGGCGGCAGAGTCCAAAAACGCGCTAACTAGTGTGACGCGACATCACGGGTTCTGCACGCGCCACAGCGGCGATAACGATAAGCCCTGCCAGGATCAAGGCCCGTCTTCCACAACTTCGTTGATTATAACGGTCGAGGAAATCTGTCATGAAACGGTCGTATGGAGACGAGAGTCATGATCAGCACCCGGCAAAAGTGCGACGACTATCGCGGCCGGACAGGCTATCCAGACTGAGTGATGAGTTGCTTGTGCGCATACTGTCCTTCGTCCCCGTCCCTTCCTTGGTAGTATGCCAACGGTATGTATGATGTCTACGTATATGCCGAAATTATACTGACAGAATAGGATATCCAAAAAGTTTAGTCGTCTCTCAATCGACTCCGAACTCTGGAAAGCCGCCTACTATCGGACCTTTGTCCTCCCACGCGCCTCTCGTATACCCGGCATCAGAGACCCCGCCACACCCAACCGACTGCACTATTCCTCACGGCTTTCCAAGTGGCTAGATGACAGCTCTCTCATCAGGGATGGCGTCTGCACTCACTGGAAGCAGCAATACCGACTGCGTCATAACTGGGCCCAAGGGCAATGCGCCGTCAGTGAAATATTGGTTGCTGAGCGGCCCCCCGAGCCGCCCTTGCTCGTCATGATGTCCAACAACGTCGTGTACGCAGCCGACTCTATATCGGGTCTTCGAGCTTGGAGATCCAAATTTGATAGAGAACTCTTGGCTTCAGTCAGTCTTACCAGCGATGCGGGCATACCGAGACTCCCCATCTCAATGGCGATAGACGCTTCAGAGAGGAATAGTGGTACCGAAAGAGTGGTACTAGGCTTTGAAGACGGCTCTTTTTCTGTTTTTGCTCTGAGGACAGACGAAAAGAGACTGGACAACCTCTATACTCATCCCGCATCGACAAACGGGATGCTCTCCGCCATTGCCTTTGCCTCGCCCTATCTTCTCACAATGACAGAAGATCATTTACTGTCATTGTATCTATTTCCGGAGACGTCCGATGTTTCTGGCCCTCTTGACGACCCACAACTGCTATATTCGTTACGCTCCAGTACGGCCTGGCCTCCTGTATCTCTCTCCCTGCGGATCACAGCGTCGAGCATGACTGCAGCGATTGCATACTCGCTGCCAACCTATCTCTCCGGCTGGACAGTGGGCGTGCAAGAGCTCCGTCTCTCGCACGAGGGTGTTCTGCTAGAATCGCGCCTCGCCACCGCAGCAGACGAACATTCCTTTACGCTCTCTGCATACCGCTCCGCCTCGTCCTCTACACGCTCACCGTCACCGTTCCTAGGCAGTGCGCGTCAAAACACTTTAACAAGTGGCCCAAGTAAATCGAATCCAACGTTGATGTCCTACTCGCACCCCTATCTGCTCGTCGCCCACCCCGACAACACACTTTCACTATATCTGGTCCGATCAACCTCGTCCGCGCTATCAATAAGCTCAGGGAACCGGCTCTGGGGCCACACATCCTCCATATCAGGCGCACATGTCGGAATGCGCGGGAAAGCCGTGTCCGTCAGTCGTCTGGGCGATGAACTGCGGGTGTGGGATCTCGAGGGCGGCATGGCGTCTTCCGCACTTCGCAAACGCTCTCGCAACGGCGAACTCAGTGTTCGCATCCAGCCCTCCAGAGTCGTCGACGAGGAAGATGACGCGCAAGAAGAGGATTCCTCGGGACGGAGACACGGGCTGCGTGTCGCACTAGACCAGGGCTTTGACGACTCGACGGTGAGCCGGGGCTGGGTGGGCTTTGATGAGCAGAACGTTATTGTGCTGCGGGAGAAGAGCGAGGGAAGTCAGGCGTTGGTTGTCTACGACTTTTCTTGATGATTTGATAGATAGATATCCCCTATGCACTACATGCAGTAGCAATCCTTTACATGTACTTCACACCTGTTATCTTATCAATGGAACGGCAGAGATGATGCGTAACACAGGCTTCCATATTGTACTAGTGACCACGCGCCCAAGCTTGTGGCGTCTATGTCTAACTTTAATTACAATTATAATTGCGATAGTAGGATATCAGTCTCTTCGCGCAATCTTGTATGTTGTTCTGAAGTCTGCGACTGGTTTAGACTCTAGATGATTATACGTAATTGCAAGCGGGCATCGTGCTACATTATTACAACGACAACATTCTCTTCTAAACGCTTTCCTGCGCATTAATAATATATAATGTAATGCCTAAACATGCTTACTACCTATCCCTAGATCTTAATATTCTTCTAGCTATACAGTTATAACGCTCTAAACCCCCCTAACTATTGTTCCTTCTCGTCCAGAACATATCAATCAAAAGCAAAAAGGTTGAAAAAAAGCAAAAATATTAAAGAAACTATGCATCGGCCGGGAATCGAACCCGGGGCTAGCCGAAACAGGACATTTCGAGAGAAGTCATGGCAACGGCTAATTTTACCACTAAACCACCGATGCGAATCAAGTAATTGATGGAATAACTTTTCATTTAAATAATATATATAATTAATAAACGGGAATTCGTGATCAACAAACTCGGAAATGCCATCTACCCACCCAAAATCCGCTTTATCTTTTAATCAAGCACAACAACTCTGTACTAAGGTTTAGTTGTATTTTACTAATTACTCATATCTAATAAGAAATACTATCGCAATTATTTGATATTGGGGCTGAGGTTAATTACGTCAGTGGCTTGAATGTCTGAAACAGATGACGCTGCGACGTGTCGTGGTCTACTGTGTAAGCTCGATACCTACCTCCCTCCCCACCCCAATATCGCGATACACCAATGCCCACCCGCCTACCCATCTCGATACAGCGATATATCAATACCCACCTTGATGCTCACCCCGATATCGCGATATATCGATACCCACTCACCTATCCACCCACCTACCCACCGCGATACCGCGATATATCACTAGATAGCAGCGCAAGTGCCTTTGTGGTTGGCCTTCGCAATGCGTTCCGTGCCTTTAAAAGCAAGGAAATTATTATTCTTGTCCGCGCGATTGATGGAATCACGACCAACCACTATTCATTTGGACGCTTTCTTAAGCTGCTAAAGTCGTTACATATTTTTGCGCAGCTACTTTTCCAATTCAGCAAAGTATGCGACAGTATTCAACTAATTGCGTTGCAGAACTTCCAAGACCTAGGAGGGATAGCTGAATCTGCCGCCGCTGATTTCCTGTCTTATATAGAAGGCAAAGAGAGAGAGAGAGAGAGACCGTCCAGAGATTCAGAGAAACCCTGACGTCTGGAATACTATTAACGAGGGCAAAGGTCTTTAACAAGGCATTCAGGATCGTAATATATTACCAACCGAAGATCTAAACGCTGCAGAAGAAGTTGCATCTGTCACAAACATGCCTGGCCGAAGACAGTAACTTCACAGTACTTCTCGATTCCCGGGCAATGCATTTCTTTGTTTGACTTTTTTGCATCCCTTCCGTCTTTTTGCACGAGAAAGAACGTCAGTTAGGTTATCTCATGGCTCAGACGCTCTGGCAAAGCAGAGAGATGAATGATGCATCCTAGACCGCCAGCGCAAAATGCAATTCATAGTGAACACACCCGCCAAAGAGCTTTTCGACAATCAACAAATAAAGCCAACAACTCTTAAACAAAAGCTTGCAAGGGGACCTTGGCCCGGGGTATTCATAATGACAATCTCCTGGCGAGCTCCTGAGCCCAGCCAGCATGTGAACGGAATCCTAAACCCCCGATTTCCCCCTCAAAACAGAGTCGACAGAAAGAAAGAAACATATGTGCAAAGAGTATATCAAATCCCAGACCCCCTAACCATACCAACACATCACAAACCCAACGTCTTCCTCCACTTCTGATCCTTCGGCGACACCAACGGCAGCGCCGGAAGCTCCTTATCGACATACTCATGCAGCGGCACGACTGAGTCCTTGCGCTTTCTCTTGGGCGCATAAGTAGTCTGAGGCAATACATCCTGCGACTGATCAAACTTGGTAGCGAGTAGGATATCGCACTTCTTCGCCTGAACGATCTCGGCCGTGGTCGCGGGCGGCGGCGATGTGTACTGAAATACTTCGTCGATGGCGTTGTCGATGTCGTCGAGGAGGTGTTGTTGAGAGGAATGTGGGCTTTCGGATGTGGAGCGTTTGTCAAAGGGGGAGCGCGGGTCGAAGGAGAATGTGAAGGAGATGGGGCGGTCTTGCGCGTCGTAGGGGAGATAGTGTGCCGAGTCCAGGGCATGCTGGACTGGGGAGTCAAGGGAGTCGCGGGGAGAGCGTGGGCTGAGAGGTAGGAGCGAGATTATGCGTTCAGTTTGGAGGTTTGGGCACAACAAGGCAGGTCGTGGTTGTTTTGCGATGTCATCCTCGTAGCTTTTTGCTGGTAGGAGGATTGAGTGTGGCTCTGGCGCTGAAGTTGAGATGGACTTCTCTTCCAGTACGCGGCGGGAGAAATCTGATCGGTCCTCGTCTTTGGTTTCACTGGGTTCGTTCACGTTTTGGTCGTACAGTGTCGAGGAAGAAGAAAACCCAGGAGAAAGAACGGGATCGCTGTGGCATCGCAGGTGCGAAATACATCCTGGCGAGATAGTGTCCGATTCTTCATCCGAACCCTCGTAGTCAGGCGGTGGTGCAATGAAGATATCGCCATGCCCCATACGCTCGCCTGGATCTACATTGCGCAACGCCTGTAATCGTTCGTTTGCAAAGTTCGACTCGAGGATGTGTGCCCTCTCGACCAGCTTCTCCACTAATCTTGAGTGTGAATCCTTAAAAGTCTTGCGCACGAATGCTAACAGCAGTGATGAGCAAGTCATCTTCACATCTTCACGAATGTAGAGACCATGTCTCGGAGCCTTCCAGGCCAGGCTCGCATGGTGGTTTTGGTTCGCCGGGTAATCGGCCACCAACACTCCACTTGCCCCGAATTTCGAGGCCAAGAGGCGCATATACATGTGTTTCTAGACCATCTTTGCAGTCGTTGAAGCAGGCATGGTAAGAGACTGAGCCTTGTGCAAGTCCGCCTGGCAGGTAAGATACTCTGTCTATATTGAATTAGTGGCTGTTCTGAACAGTACATTCTGCGCGGAAATTGTGGGAAGTTACCTTTGATAGTATACCAAGTCGACCAGTACTCATCTGTTGGTGCATAACTCGGTGGTCGACAAGCGTAACGCTCCACAACAAGCGGGTTCAAATCGATCATAGAGACATGATCTTTGTACATGTCCAGCACGCTCTTCCTCGTTATGCCCACCGGCAATGGTGTAATAGTCGTGAAGACTACAGTCTTTGGCATCTTGCGTATTTTGGATCTCGACTCGCTTGCAAATTCACGATTCAATGTTTCAGTAATATTCTCCGAGAAGTAGGGATATACACGACGGGCGGTTATCTGGCGGTGAAGCTGGAGAAGAAGAAATCGTTTGGGTAGCAAAGCAGCGAAAATCGCGGTACTTGTTTCGTCGACCAACTGGCCCGTAGGATTCATGGCCACCAAAATGGTACACGTCTCAGGTCTGCGGTTGAAGACCAGCCCCCGGCCCACTAACGTACTATGGTACGCAGTCATGTCTGGATCCGCATATCAGGAACGAAAGCATGCTGCCAAGCGCCCCGCCAACGCCTCGATACCAGGCGGTCTCTCCACCAATTCTAGACCTGGTGGATTTAATTTTGGCTACAACAGTTTGCGTCTGACAGCTCGGATACTTCCTTTATGTTTGTTCGAGGTGGGGTCAGTAACCTTACACCACGAGCTCATACTGCCAGAGCATCAGAAGGAGCAACGCGGTGCCGCGTCCCAAAAAACAAACAAAGTCGGAGCACATGTTCAGGCGACGGATATTGATGCCGAGAGAATTGTGTGTTGTTGCGAGGAGTGTCAGAATCCTGGAGCAGATCTGCCGCAGATACGTTACAGGCTCGTTTTCGCACTGCGACGAATGCGGCAATGATGATGATGAAATGGGCACAAACCCTCTTGCGCAATGTCATTCAAACTCTACCTATTACACAACTTACATTTGATGATGAACCACAGTGCGAAGGTTAGCAAGCCAGTGTTTGTTTGATTCAAGAGTTCTGCGCAATTTCGGCAGAATCCCTCGTCACCATTTTGCCGGTCATGTAACGACCGTGTTGTTTCAGGTAACTCGCATCCCCCACCTGTTTCAGCAGATAATGGGGCGATATTTGCAGCAGGAAGCGATAGGGAACGATGAAATTCCCATTATACGAATGTCCAGACTTCTTTGGGGTGGACCCAGGCCCGCTATTGAGATTGCAAAGGAAAGGGACCTTGAAACGTGTTATTTCTATATCACCCATAGTGCTTACCTTATACCGAGGTGGTGACTGCCCACCACCATTGGCGACTCCCCTATCCTGGGTTGTCTAGGAGACACCTATTTAGGACTAGTAAGGATATCTATATCTAGCCACTTTAGCTTTCTTGTCTATAGATTCTTTAATTAATACTTTGTTATTATATTAGGTTATAAGCCTAGCTTATCTACTAGTATACTTAGCTTTATTTACTAGTACCTGCTTATATTAATCTCTTTATTAGCCTTCTACTACTTTAGCTATATCTATTACTAATATTTACTATTATTATAGCTTCCTATTCTAACCTATTTAATACGTCCCTACTACTATTACTAGCTCTACCTATAGCTTTATTAGAGGTACTACTATCTCTATATTTACTATTACTAGAGATAGATCCTCTTCTAGGACTATTAGTACTACCTCTAATACCTATTATATCTACTAAACCTATATTTAACTTCTATCTAGACCCTTTCTTATTACCTAAACTAGGTTCCTAAGGTAAGAACTATCTAGAATAGTAGTTAGCCTAGACTATAGTATTTAGATATATAGGTATTTAGCCTATCCTTGCTAGAAAGAAGCTAAGACTAATACTTCCTTCTAATACTAAGGACTAGGATAAGTAGGATAATAAGGCTTTAGTTATACTACTATTATTAGTTTATAATAACCTAATAATAAGCGTAGTAAGCTATAATACCTCTCTAGAAGCCTAGAAGTATCTTACTAACTACTTTAATAGGGATATAGGTAATATATTAATCTTACTCTTTTAGTTACTTATAAACCTCTACTATTATAATAGAGATAACCTTAGACTATACCTTAATAAATTCTATTAATACTAGATATATATAGCTAAATATTATATAATATCTATATAGCCTATTATAGTAGTAATCTATAATATATTTAACTTAGATTAGGTTAAGGGCTTATTCTTTCTTACTACTCTACTTAAGATAATAGATAATATTATTAATAACTTATCTACTAGGAATATAACTGCGTTTAAAGATATTAAACCTAAGATCCTAGATATCTTAGAGAAGCACTTATTAGATATTACTAACTCCTTAGCTATTTATATAGCTAGATAAATAGCGTCTAGATAGCTAAATACTAATAGACTACTATTATCTAGTACCTCTATACTAGAATATACCTAGTGTTAGAAGTATAACCTATTATTTATTAGTTATATCTATCCTAATTATAAGTATCTTAAGAAGTATAAAGAGAACTAAGTAAAGGGAAAAGTTAGCACTATACTATAGTTATAGTTATTCTTATTATTAGGCTCTTAGAAGAAGTAAAAAGTAAATAATACTATTATAGTTAATCTAGATAAAGACTTTAATAGCTTAACTACTATTATTAGTTACTCTACTTACTATTATATTAACTTAATAATACTACTACTATTATTATTATTATATCTAGTGCTTAACTTAAATAGTAAATATACTAGATTAGTAAGTGTATTTATAGTAATCTATTAACCTACTACTATTAACCTACTTATATAGCTTTTTAATACTAGTGCCTCTAGGTATATATCTAGCTATACTAATAACTTCCTATCCTTAATACTAAAGATAGGCACTATTACTATAGCTAGTAGTATTAAGCTCCCTATATAAGGAATTAGTATAGTTTAACTTTACCTATAGCTCCCTAATAGCTTAACTAATATTATAGTACTAACTAACACACTTTATAGCGCTAAACTCTATAGCACCTACTTATTCTTATAGATATTTATTAGATATAAGGGGTTTAAGCTATTTACTAAAAAGGATAACCTATACCTTATTAGATATAGCTAATATATACTATAGGCAAGATATATATAAGGCCTTATATAGCTCTAGACTAAATAACTACTATTACTATTACTATCTACCTATATACTTATAAGCTTATCCTCTCCTAATTAAATATTAATAGCCTTAGCCCTAATAATAATAATAATAGAGGTAATAGTAATAGTAATAAAGGCAAAGGAGATATATATATATAGAGGCAAAGGCTTTAGGATATACTAAGATTTTTATAAAGCTATAGGATATCTATTAGTACTAAACCTATTATATATCTATACTAATAGATATCTAGTACTAGATAAACCTAGTAATTTTATATATACTATATATTAATAATTAAAGTTAGTGTATTATATACTAATACAAGGAACACTACGCTAGACCTAGCTACTTAAGCTTATCTACTCTAACCTCTTAGGGAAGATACCTACTTAAAGTATTAGTAGCTCCTAGTACTATATCTTATTTATTAATAACTACACCTAATATTTATAAATTTAGTTTCTTAAGCTTAAGGCTAATATACTATAAGCTATTAAGGACTTTATTACCTATATAAATACTTAATTCTATAATACTAGAGCTATAGCTAATAATAGCGTCCTATAATATTCTATTATTAAGACCTTCTATTCTAATAATAGCAGCGAATATATTAGCTATAATCTTTAGAAATTTTTTATAGCTAAAGGAATTATCTATAAATTAATACTACTATACTACTATAAATTAAATAGCGTCCTAGAGTAATTTAACTATACCCTATTCTAGATTACTTAATATATAATACTATTTAATAATCTACTTTTCTTATAGGCTAAAGTAATAATATTAGTAAATTTTCTTAAGAATATTATACTATATTCTTTAGACCTATTATAACATACCCTATATAAATAGCTCTTTAGGAAGAAGCTATCTATTTAGCACCTCTAACTATTTAGTATCTAAGGCTATATCTATATTCCTATAAAGGCCTAGAAGCTAGGTACTAAACTCCTATACTACTCTAAAGAAGGTATCTTTATTAGCTATAGTTATAGTACTAGGATAAGCTATCTCTATATACTATAATAAGCTATTATTATTAAATCCTAGGATATTACTTTTATCCTATAGGTTCCCTAAATATTTTAAACTATTTAAGACTAGGGAATTAAGTATAGTCTATAATATTTAGATATAGAGCTTTAATATTTATAATAGTAGCCTAGGGAATTAGTTATAACGCTCCCTCCTATTAAAGTTCTTAATAATACTAAGCTAGGGGATATAAGTAACCTTCTATCTATACCTTAAATACCTATACTTAAGTCTAGAGTAATAAACCTACTATATAACCTCTTAAGTAGCCCTAACTATCTCTTTATATAGGTACTACCTAGGATAGGACTAGACTCCTCCTCTTTAGATACTTAAAATTTATAAATATCTACTCTAGCCTAGAAGAAACTACGCACAAAAGAGACACCTATATTAACGCCTAGAGCTATAACTTATATTAGAAAATAGATAAGAAAGCTAGAGTAATACTAGAGATCCTATACTATAATATAACTATTTACCTTTACTATAACTTATAAAGAGGATATACTAGTATATATCTCTTTATTTTTAATAACTTTCTTTACTACTATAATATTATTAGATACTTCTAGGATATTTATAGAAGTAATAGATAATAATTATACTACCTTATAGTAGCTAGCTATTAATAAAGAAATTACTAATTATATAGAAAATAGTATATAAGAAGTTATACCCTATTATAAGATACCTCTAGGTGTAGAGCTTATAGGCACTTAATAGGTCTTTAATACTAAGTAAGATAAATCTAGTAATATTATTAAGAGAAAAGCAAGACTTATAGTATAAGGATTTTTATAGTAACTAGGTTTTAACTATAATAATATATACTTACTAGTAGTTAGATATAATAGCCTATAAATCCTCCTAGTCCTTGCTACTCTATATAGATAGTAGACGCGATAAGTAGACTTTAACGCTGCATACCTAAATAGACATCTTAAACACAGGATCTACTGTTAACCGCCGCTAGGACTGCTATCTAATAGCGCACTGTTCCTACTTAAGACTCTCTATAGTCTT